GCATCATCGCAAGGAGGATGGCATTCATTTACTTTTGTTTTATTTGGTATTTTTTCAGTCATTTTTGGAAATAGTGATCAATTTTGATTAATTCACAGCCTATGTTTAATTACATTTAAAATAAATGTCAACAGATGAGATCAAACAAAACAGATGAGAATTGCCCTTAAGCTGTTTAACTTGGACCAAGCATTTTAGGTCACAGATAGATGTAGCTTAGGGTCTCTGTCTATACACCTTATAAGACAATTTAGGTGATGGCATGGTGTTTTTCTGCTATTGAACTGTTTTCTAATAATGTTGTGTTAAATAAAGTGAAGGAAGGAGAGAAATAACGTTTCCCTAGCAGTTTTTAAAAATTTCCCCATGTAATCCGATTAATCGATTAATCGTGTCGAGACCCCGTCCGATTAATCGATTATCCAAATAATCGTTTGTTGCAGCCCTAGTCGCCACCTCAAAAACTAATTTAACACGCGATTGTTCATGTCGGCTCATTTCCTTTTATGTTTTTGTTTTTTTATTCTTTCATTTGTGCCTGATGCGTTTCGCTGCTGTGGATCGGGGTGCATCACCTGTTTGTCCTCTGGTGATTTTACCTTATTGGTGCGCCCGGCAAGCAGCGTGCACTCCGCAGTTTTTGCGGTCGGTAGATCTTTTAGAACTGCAGTTCAAAGGTAACTCATAAGGTGAATATATATGAACCCAGGTAGAAGTTTCTCTTTAGGATTGAGAGGAGATGCAGGAAGATAATAAACAGGCAGGACAGAAAAATAATCAAATAAAAACAAGTTAGTTTTTGTACCTGGTGGTTGCAACAAACAGACACCATTGAAGGTAATCAGAAGTGAGGAACAGAAAATGAAATAATTATTTTAATGTGTAGAGCAGCAGGAACTCCAAGAGGCTGCAGGCGCATCAGTGAGTTTGCGGCCACTGCGCAGGGGGAGGGGGAGCTGAAGCAGAAACTACCGTTGTTAAAAGAAATGTGTTTAACTTTGAAAATGTGGGCGCAATTTTAATTGTCAAAAACTCCAGCGAACCATTAGTTCATTTTGCTCAAATAGAAATTGAGGCCTGCCTCTAATTCTGGTCCTCCTTCCAATAAAGGCCTGGAGCTTGATGAGCTTGAGTCAAATACAGACCTGGGCCTGTATTAGAGGATTTACGGTAATATGTATGGTCATAGAACAAGCGTTGAAAAAAATGCTGATGTGATGTGGAAGTAGAGCTGGGTTAAACTATTATTTTTTTATCGTATAGTCGACTATTCTAAGGACTATTTAGACGATTATTTTTCTGTTGAATGATCAATCGGTCCTTGTCAGGTGGTGTATCGGGGGCTGTAGCGTGTTGCATGATGGGATAGCTAGGTGTATAAACAAAGGAAGCACCGTTTTCTTTGTGTGTTGTGAGCTTATTAAACTGCAGAAAATGGTACACTCATGGGCTGCCATGATATCTTCACAAGAAGGCAAAAAAAAGTTAAATGTAGGCAAGGATCGCGTTAACTGTATATTTTCCGTTTTTGACCGTTTATTTTGACAGAGAAATCTCAAGACTGTGCAGACATTTTAAATGTTACGCACAGAGAACATCACGGAGGCAACAGCATCTATCAAGAAAAGATTCCCATCAGAACATCTGAGCATTACCTAAGACCTGGACATCACAATCAGTGCAGTTCACCATCAGCACACTGAAGAGCTGTTAGAGCAGCTCGGAGGGCGTCTGTGGGTCACAGCAGCAGCAGGACCAGAACAGCAGGTGATATGTTCTTATTTTAAGTGAAATTGTTTAATTGTAACATTAATATGTTGCTGGACGTGCTGGCCAGCTTTAGACTAAATATTGATGAAGTATGAATGAAAATAAAATTATGAATTTTTATTTATTAGAGAAAATGACGGGAGAAAACGATCATGACCTCTGCATGTAGGTACTGTTTCTGTACCTGCTTACAACTTATATTAATAATAACTTGTTTAATTAATTAATGTTTCTGGAGGGCTACTCTTTACTTTCACTTGATTATAAATAGGTTAAAGGAGTGCTAAGCTTACTCAAGTGATATATATTCAGCAGTAATGATGCGTCTGAGCTCCGTTTGTTTCCTTTGAGGTCATAGGGATCTACAGTGTTGATTGTAGACAACTTCTGAAAATGCCGATCTCTAGCCTCCTTCAGAAGTTTTTTCCTGTAAGGGATGAGTTCATCCTTGTTTTTTTTATCCATCCTTTTGACTCTTATTCTGCTTTAACTTCAGCTGCAGCTTCCCCTAGCAATGCAAGTCATACACCTAAAATGGCGCTAAGGGGGTATGGTTGACATGCAGGTCACGAGTCTGACCAGGGCCGATAAAAACCTCAAAATAAATACCCCTAATAAACTTTATGAATTGGTACTGTAAAAGAACAAACACTACAGGCCTTCCATTTTGTATAACACTATTGTGTTACGGCAGGTTGTGTTCTGGTGACGTGTAGAGTTTGGGAGTGCTGAGCCTGAGAGGTGGTTGGAGATGGGAGTTTCATTCTTCATGCTGCTTGTTTTGGTCACTCACGTGCATGTGGCGAGTGGTGTTACGACACTTCCTAGGGAGATTGGCTAGTGTGCAAAAGACAAGATTTTAAAGTCAAAATGATGATTAGGTTTATTTACCAAAAAACACAAGTCAGGAATACTAACAAACGAAAATATTATGGACTGTGGGGAACAAAACTAAATTACAAATAACTAGGGTTTTTAATTATCAAACAACTAAAAGATGTCCCACTAGGCAAAGATTAAAAGGTTCTTAAAGACTATAAGGATCTTAAAAAGGTACAAACTCAAAACTGAGTGGTTAAACCAAACTCAAGACGATATTTTAATCTCAACAAAAAACCCACAGCACTCCAAATGTTACCAAAAGGGAGATCTACTCCACACAAAAGATCAACTCTTAACCAAAAAGAAACAGCATATCCAAACACAAGAAGCTACAAAAATGCTAACAGTAGCTTTACTAACATTAAGCTTCAGTTGCCAAGTTTAAATAAGCCTTAAAGACCCAGCGAACAGACCAGCATGGAGGAGAGACTGCTGCCACAACACAGCTCTCCTCAAACATCTGAAAGAAGCTCCCTTATGAAGGGAGAAACGCTAATCCCGGTGATGTCCTTCATCTACAGTAGAGACGAAGCAGCGGAAGCTGTTGTCCTTTAAAATAGGGCAAATTTTCAAACTCATCCTTTGTATAAAATTTGTACCTTCATGCTTGATCATCTTGGACCAGACAAAGCCACTGAGATCAATGTTTCTTTTATTATGCCCGGTTCGTGCCATCTCTAATAAATTCCAAAAACATGGACCACGAAAACCCCCTCCCACACAGGACATCTGAATCTGATGTGTTCCAAGATCTGCAGTCCCACACATACACACATTTCTGACACACAGAAGCTTTGAACACTCATTACAAGACAAGCCCTTCCCTTTCAATGATAGATATGTTGATTACTCAGAAGCCTCTTTCTGGTAAATATGTGACTAAGATGCCTTTAAAAAAAAGAGGAAATAAACAAAAAGGTACAGCTAACATGCAACAAATCAAGCAACACAGCCCCAAGACTACTTATCTAACGGGGATGAGAGTCAAGAACTAGTTTTGTGTTGTCTTGTCTGTCTGAACTGTATGCCTACCAGTTTATCAGTTCCTTTCATCTAAAATATTCTTCTGACAGCTGCTCAAAGCAAGGCTGTGCTGCCAAACTCACGTCTTTGAACTGCAGCTTGCATCTAGTCATTTTGCACAGAAAAAGCAGAGCGTTTTACGTGGAACAAGTGAGAATTCAGGAACACAGGTGCTCCATCGACAATCTCCTCACAACTTGCGCCAGATTTGAGTTCCAGAAAACTGTAAATGGTGGCTATGATCCAAGGATCCAAGTTTCTCATTTCTTCCAATTGCGTCCAGACAGAATAATAAGCTAATCTGAATAACCTGCTGGATGAAACAATCTTATTTTGCATGCTTACATGTCATTGTGTCAACACTTGATTTAGACTCATTGATGCAAACGTGATTGCTCGTTTTTATAATATTAGGCTACATATTAGCATTTCATCACTTTTTAGGAATTACGTGTACTGTAGCTGTTCCTCACCCAGCAGCCTGTTTGTAACATTATTGTTTTGGTTCATCAGCTGCTGTCGTGCTGTATGTAGACAGCCACTGAAGCTGGAGATGAGGCCCTCTTGCCAGGCTTTCCCTGTCAAATATTTATAGAAGCTGAAACGTTAGATGGCCACCGGCAACAAGCAGCAGCAGCAGCAGCAGCAGACACTTCAGTGTCTCACCACAAAACTGGGGACAATTAAACTTGATGAGGTGCATTTTATGAAGCAATAACTTAGTTTGACGCAATTCTAAAGCAGTAAGGAGTACGTGAGACTTTAGGCGAAGTGAGGGGGTTGGGGAATGAAGTCTCACACGAATGCAGGGTGGATTTTTTTTCCTCCAAATTATTCAAAGCGTCGTCATTAAGACATCTCAGCTTTAACAACTTCGAACGATTAGTTTAAACGCGGAATTTAAATACCAAACGTGACTTAACCCGGACATTCGCAGGCTAGTTTAGCTACAGCTGGGGTTGCCAAACAATTAGATACTGCCCAACAAAGTTTCGAGAATCGCCCTCAATCTAAATTTCCCCTCCTGGTGTTATCGGTTTAATTCTTCGCGAGCCGCTCAAGACGTGTCAAGATGACGAATTAAGTTAGAACTGTTGCGTCAAATGAAACAAATAACCACCCTTTAGTAGCTGGGTGAATGTCTACGTTACAGCATCTGGAGTGGGCTCTTATCGAGCCGAGCCGAACCGAACCCAGCAGCAGCAGCAGCAGCCTGAAGACAGGAGGAGGCAGACGGAGCGGGGACTGACCTCCCTGAGCCTGTCACAGCCGCCAGGGCACCCTCCGAAAACAAAAACGCCCCGGTACCGCAAAGGACACCTTACCTTGCTGCTCTGAAAGCCCTCGAACGCCCTGAGTGCACTGTCAGTGAGTTTAACGTGAAAGACGGTGACATTGCTGCCGTTGCTCACTCTTCCACAGGACAGTCCGTAGCACTGCTCCTCCTTCAGCGCCGCCATCTTACCACCATTCCCACCACGCGCACGGACGGACGCGCTCTGTCGTAAACCGAGAAGTCCCGTTGCTTTTTCATTGAATATTCAGTGGCTGGTCACCGGTGATGACGTCACTCGGCAGCCCTCCCTAAAGCAAGTGTTCATCACTGAACTCGTGTCACTAGGACATTACTCAACACTTACAAATGTATGTTCGTCCAAACAGCAGCTCAGATACACTGTGGTTCACGCATCACATAAAACCCAATAATGTCACAACTTAACAGATATCACTGCTGCGATATTTATCCATCTGCACCCATATTAACAATATAAAAGAATATTAAAACGTTTTAGAGAATCAAATATCATTGAAGTGTGGGTTGCAGCATATTTGAATGTTTGTTTGCCCTATGTCTAGCTCCAAATCCTGGATGTGGAACTTCCCATATTTTTTCTGAAGTTTATAAGAAAGAAGAAGACCAAGATTAGCTTCCAATATGAAAATCTAACCATGTCTCTAAAAACAGCATTTTAAAGGTTTGATCCAAGTATCACAGTATCCGTAAGCAATCCAATGTAAGAATAAAAACAGAAGATGTGAAATATTTTAGGTCTCAAACGAATGACAATATTTAAATTTAGTGAAGAAACTAAATTTGATCATTTTTACCCACCTGCTGCAATGGGTTCAATTAAAAGACAAAGAATCTAAATTCAGTATTAAAAAATCTGCCTCAGAAACTTTGGATAACAAAAGCATGTCTTTTTAGCATCGAAAAGAAGTTTGCAATAAGCAAAGTGCATTCAGTATTAATATAATATTGTTGCAGTAGAATCAGAGCCCGATAAGACATGGATGCAAAAGTACATCAGAGTATCAATACAAATTGGTATTTGACTCTGAGGTGATTTAGGGACCAATCCTTGAGGAACCTCACTGACTCCATTAGTAGTTTGCTTAATGTACAGGGATCTGCTAGATATATTAATCTTAGCATTCAAATGTACAAGTAAATCTACTGTTATTAGTTGTGTTGCCAATATTGATTTTGTCAGGTAGTGAAATAAATATTTACTCTTCCATTTATGAAGTGCCTATTATTGTGTATGCTGCACACTAAAAGGGCAATGAGCTCCTTCATGAATTCAGAAATAGCTAATTATTGATAAAAAGGAAGAGGAAAAAGGCCAACAGTTTTACAGTAAAACATCCAACCCTGTAAACAGAGAAAACAAAAACAAAGTGTTTACACGCAGCAGATATCTAGACAACTTTGGAAGGTCTGTGTAAACAGAGTAAAGCAAATTACCCAGTGACCAGTTTGAAATTTCAGTCGCTGATCCTTTTGCAAGAACAAACATGACTTAATGTACTCATATTTTTAAAGGCATAAATGCAGCAAATCATGGTTAACCAGACAAAAACACATTTAATTTGTTTGTAAAATGAGTGTAAATGACAAATGATAGTAGTTTGATAGGACATTTATTTGAGATACATCAAAATGAACAAATAGAATAGAATTCAACTTTATTGTCATTGCACATGGGCTGTGCAGTGGTTACAGCTGTTGCCTTGCAGCAAGAAGGTCCTGGGTTCGCTTCCCGGCCTGGGATCTTTCTGCATGGAGTTTGCATGTTCTCCCTGTGCATGAGTGGGTTCTCTCCGGGTACTCCGACTTCCTCCCACAGTCCAAAAACATGACTGTTAGGTTAATTGGTCTGTCTAAATTGTCCTTAGGTGTGAGTGTGTGATTGTTTGTCCTGTGTGTCTCTGTGTTGCCCTGCGATGGACTGGCTCTCTGTCCAGGGTGTACCCCGCCTGATTGCCCATTGACCGCTGGAGATAGGCACCAGCCCCCCCCCCCCCCCCGCGATCCTAAGTGGACAAGCAGGTTCAGACAATGGATGGATGGAAGTCATTGCACATGTCACAGGTACAAGGCAACAAAATGCAGTTTGCATCCATCCAGAAGTGCTTTAGCAATTGTACAGAATGGTCATTTACATAGAATTATACAGTAGTGCAGTTATGATCAGTGAGTTATGTGAATAATTTCTACAGGTATGAGACATTTGACCCATGTCAGGAGGCAGAGTGCAGTAGAATGTCAGGAACTTTGCTCAAATAATTATAGATTACACAACTTTTGGCTCTAATGCTCTATCATCTAGCCTGAGGAAGCCACACATTTGGTACAGTCACATTTATTTTTTGGAATGAGAAAAAGAAATGCAGAACAACTTTAGAACAACTTCCCATGCAAACATAGGGTCTTCTGAACATTTGGTCTTTTAACACAAATATTAAAAGTACAATTTAATGAAATCAAACACCTTTCCCAGTCCTAAATAACCCAACAGTGTCTGTATTTATTATGTATATGTGGCTAATTAAATGTGTTTAAACTCCACAGCTGTAGGTTTGCCTGCACTGAATGTATCAAAGAAGTGTTGATTTAATTCTGTTAGCAAATAAAACTATAGTTGATGTGTGAGGAGATTTGTTTATTCTCTTTCATGCAGCTAATGTTAGACACGTTTTTACAAAACCTGTTGAGTGTAATACCATCCCAATCGTCTGGTGTGGAGAAAAGCTGAAACTTTAAGGCAGTAAATGTTGGATTGTTGCATTGCATTGCTATGGTTCTGTGACTTTAATGGTGTAGTTTATGGATGATTAAAATGAGTAGAAATCCTTATGGGTATCATAAGGGTTAATGTGTGTGTGTGTGTGTGGGGGGGGTGTGTGTGTGTGTGTGTGTGTGTGTGTGTGTGTGTGATATTCTGTCCGCCTGTGGATCTTATAGTAGAAAGCATGTAAATGAGAAACATGTTCCATGAATTAAAATTCCATCTCTTGGGTAATAAATATTATTTTATAAACAAAATCAAATGCTTTTGGAGACATACTAAAACTAGTGAATCATTTATGTTAAATATAATTTACATTACTTTTGTTTGAATCACTTCCGATTCCTGGAACAATCAATTTCCAACTTTGCTTGCCAGAGACAAAAATAATCGGAACAAATGAAAATAAAGTCTGGCGACATGTATGTGCACAGACCTACACATTTACAAGACTGGAAATAGGTTTCTCTATACACTATTATTACAACTTATTACTTGTAACTTCTCAAACATAGTAGAGAAAAGACGGTGACAGCGAAGAGGTAATCGACCATCTCACATTTCCACCATTGACCAACAGTCAGAAGGTGTAGTCAGACGTGTTTCAGTGTTTTTGGCTCTTTCGCTGCATTTGATCAGGCTCATTTCAATTCCTGGCAGCTATGACAACAGATAGAGCTACGCCACCAAGGGCTACAGCTGTGGCACCAAAAAGCCACTTCCAGCTGAGACCCTGCAGAGGACAAAAAGCAGCATGTTGAGCAGGTTAATAACATCGGCACAAATTATACGCTGTTTTTCAAAGCCTCACTTTGGAACAAACATTTTAACACATGGAGTTTCTGAGATGATTACTCTCTCACCCATGAAGACTTGGCCTGATGTTTCCGTACGCTGCTACTAGAAGGGTTGCCCAGCATCTTCTTATACATGGCCTGTTCTGCTCCCCGCTGCTCTGAGTGCTTCTTCACCAGCTTGGAGAGCTCCGCGTGAATTGTCTGTGCATGAAACAAGAGAAAGGATGCAGGAAATAACCATAAAAGCACGGTGTCTATCAGTGCTGTTATCCTGATCTGCAGGAGACTGCGTCGTGCAGCTTTGCAACAGACAGACCAATAACAAGTCAGAACGCTCTTTACAGTAACAGACACAAGTGGTCTGCAAAACACAAAGTCATGGCATTTGCTAGATGAATAAATTAATGATTGGGGTTCAGAGAAGCTGCATCAGAAAATCTAAAATGTTTATATACCGGAAAATTCTTGATTCCACTCTTTGCCATCTTCCGAGAAATCACAGGCTTGGACCACAAAATCAGCGTGCTGTTTAGCCCACATGTCCACACAATGATTCCAGGATCTGGGCTCAATTATTGTTCCAGCACAGACTCAGCTGTGAGTCACTTCGCTGCTCTTAAAGCGGGTGAGTGACTAAGCAAATCAATATTATAACAGATAAAATGTTTAAACTTGCTAAGAGCACTTCGGTAGGACTGAGGACCGTTGCTCAAAGTTCAACAGAAACAGTCACCTGAAACTAAAGTGACGTTTGGAGTAAAATCTACTAACATGCATCTGTGAGCAGTGGAGTCTTCGCCCTGATGTTAATATGCACCAAAGTGGTGCATTTACCTTTACAAGAGTGTTTCTGTGGAAGCAACAAGACAGAAAGACAAAAACATTACAACCTATAGGGGGAGAGGAGAAACAAACATTTAGCATCACGATCCTACCAGAACTCGTTTGTCTTACTCTGCAGAGAAAGTCAAAGGCAGTTTAAACTGGAAATGTCAAGTCTGCATGTCGTTTAAGAAAAAAGTTAAACAAGCCAGATAAATAAATCTTTTCTGGCTCATTTGAGCTGAAGACAGAGGTATCAGCCCCTGCTTGGAGGAGAGAGATATAATGTGTCATCTTGTCATTTTCTGTGTCTGTCAAAGCCAAGCTAATTGGTTAGAAAAAGAGCATCTTTATTGGAACAAAAACACACACATTTATTTTAAGGCACCATAGAGCAGCGCTTTAAACTCAACCCCAAACTTTGTACAGGAATTAATAAAAAGTGTCATACCTTAAGTTATTAGAAATTACTATCTTACCTGCTGCAAATAACTTCAAATAAAATTAATCTTCCAAATTTCACAGCAATTCATGCAGCATTACTTAAAAAAACCTTTTACACCACCATTTCTCATGTTGTTTACGTAGACTTCTGTAACTCTATATAAACATAATTATCCGCAGCAGCCTTAAGACAGCACCTCTGGTGTCTCCAAGGGACAAGTTTGAACAATATATCCTATTAGTGCTGCTCACATAATTATTTAATGCAAAGCAGACATATAAAATAACCTAATTTTCATTAATCAATATTAAATTTTGAAGGTGGCGCTGATTTAAGATGTCAGTAATTCATCATTAACCTGTAAGGCCGGTATCTCAGGCAAAATACACTACTTTAACAAAGACACAAACTATAAATTGGCCAATATGTCTTTGAAATGGCTCAAGACTTTGATAGCAACACAGGAAGTTAGCCAATGAGAAGGGATGATGAGAAGTGTCAGCTTCCCCTTCGACTCAAACCAGATAATCTGTAATCTAAAAAAAGGGGATGTTGGATTTTATTTTCTGCTCCAAGTTGAAGAACTTTTTCCTGCAGCTATTCTCTTCCAAATCTTTAGATCAAAACCACAACTAGAAATGTACTGGTTAATAAATTAAGCACTTCATTTATCAGACATCATTACAAATGGTCTTATAAAGTAGCACATGATACTACACTGCATGCGATGGCTGAAAAGCGGTGAACAGGTTGTGTGCTGTTTGACAGATTGGTGTAGGACTGAAGTAGGGAGTACTGGGCATAAGTACCAGGCTGCTGCAGCTGATCCAATAAGCCCATACAGTGGAACATGCTCCAGCGAGTGACCTTGTATAGCCAAAGCACCATATATACTCATCTGAACAGAAACAGTGACTAGGCATTAGATACGACTAGGGTGCAGGGCAGACCTATTTACAGCAGCAGCATGAAAACAGATCCTCTGAAATGATGAATCAGCAGAACTTGCTGCAAATGAATTCATCTTTACCCAATGGCCCCACCTACTGGTCAGAATGGGACAATCTGTTCAGCAAGACTAAACAATGTACACTCGCTAGTCACATCACACTATTGGGTACACCTGTCCAACTGTTCCTTAATGCAAATTACTAATCAGCCAATCACACGGTGGCAACTCAGTGCATTAAGGCATGTTGACATGGTCAAGACAATCCGCCGCAGTTCCAACTTCAGACTGTGGAAGAAAGGGGATTTAAGTTACTTTGAACACAGCATGGTTGTTGGTGCCAGACGGGCTGGTCTGAGTATTTCAGAAACTGCTGATCTTCTGGGATTGTCACACACAACCATCTCTAGGGTTTACAGAGAATGGTCTGTAAAAGGGAAAACATCCATTGAGCTGCAGTTCTGTGGGCGAAAATACCTTGTTGATGACAGAGGTCAGAGGAGAAAAGCCTGACTGGTTTGAGCTGATAGAAAGGCAACCGTAACTCAAACAACCACGGTATGCAGAAGAGCATCTCTGAACGCGCAACACATTGAACCTTGAAACAGATGGACTACAGCAGCTGAAGACCACACCAGGAGCCACTCCTGTCAGCTAAGAACAGGAACCCGAGGCTCCAATTCACTCAGGCTCACCAAAGCTGGACAATAGAAAATTGAGAAAATGTTGCCTGGTTTGATGAGTCTCGATTTCTGCCACAACAGTGGGAAAGTAGGGATGCACCGATCAGGTTTTTTGCTGCCGATCACCGATACCGATATCAAAGAATGCTGATCACCGATACCGATCACGTGGATTGGCCAAAAATTTTCTACAACATTATGAGTGCTACAAACTACATAATCTGGGAATAAAGGAAATGCAACCTAATCTAAAATGGTCTGTATTAGGGTTGTCACGGTGTGAAAATTTAACCTCACGGTTATTGTGACCAAAATTACCACGGTTTTCGGTATTATCGCGGTATTTTTTTTAAACGTGCTACATTTTCACACAATGCAATAAACCCTGTATGTCAGGAAATATTGTCTTCAGTTTGTGTCTAAATTTAGCCTAAAATGTGTTATTTTGTAATTATGTTGTTTACATTTTTTCCCTTTAGTCTTTAAAATACCAATATTTGCCCATAACTTCTTATTTTATGTCTGTTTGATGTCATCATTTTAAAAATATTAGATCAGATGATACGCAGTACTCAAGTAGCCTTCTAATCAGATACTTTTTTACCCTTACTTGAGTAATAAACCCTATATCAGGAAAATATTGTCCTCGGTTTGTGTTCCAGTGAGCTTTGCAGATGTGGGAAAATGTCATCAGGCAGTAATCGTTGTTAAATTCATAATTATTCTCGGAGAGAGACCAACTCTTATCTGCCCCTGGGAGCCCCGTAATGCATAGCGTCGTTTCAACATGGGGGTGTCCGCGACACGGTTTATATGCAGGTAGCGGCGCTGCGGCTGCTTTATATAGCGACTCGTTGCGTTCTCCCTCAACCCAAATCCTCGGATCACGCATTTTAGCTAAAATGCTAACGTTAGCTTGCCTTGCGTTGAGGGTGATGGTCACGCAGATGTGTCATGACATTTGAAGCGTTGCTGCCTTTCACAGACAATTTTTCTGCACGTACTGCAAACAGGATAGCCGCCCGTCTTCTATAACTCCTTCGGCATTCAAATATCCAAAAATGCCCGTACTTCCGACTTTGTCTTCTTTGGGGGATAATAAATGTCCTCCTGAGCGCTGCCGTCTCCTCCTTAGGCCATTATTTCAGCTTTAGCTTCAAGAAAGTTTTGGTCGTAAACAACAAAGTGCGCATGTGCCGCCGGTCCTGCAACTTCAGCAGATGATACGGTGGCTGGTAAGGGTCACCGCGCCTACACCGCAGCCACGGTAACCCACCGAGATAATATAGTTTTTTTTAAAACAAGACGGTTATTATTATTGTCAACTTTTTCTACCGGGGTTTACACTGGTTACCGTGACAACCCTACCTGATCGGTCTGCTTTGATCTATTTTGAAAAGTCCGATCAAAACCGATAGGGGCGCTATCGGCCGATTGGGATCAAATGCCGTTTCATCGGTACATCCCTATCGGAAAGTAGGATCAGAATTTCGCGTCAGCAACATGAAAGCATGGATCCATCCTGCCATGTATCAACGGTTCAGGTGGAGGTGGTGTAATGGTGTGGAGGACATTTTCTTGGCACACTTTGGGCCTCTTAGTACTAACTGATCATCGTTGCAATGCCACAGCCCACATGAGTACTGTTGCTGACCATGTCCATCCCTTTATGACCACAGTATACCCATCTTCCAGCAGGATAATGCACCATGTCATAAAGCTCCAATCATCTCAGACTGATTGTTTGAACATGACAGTGATTTCACTGTACTTAAATGGCCTCCAGTCACCAATCTTAATCCAATAGAGCACCTTTGGGATGTGGAACAGGAGATTCGCATCATGGATGTGCAGCCGACAAATCTGCAGCAACTGTGTGATGCTGTCAGGTCAATATGGACCAAAACCTCTGAGGAATGTTTCCGGTACCTTGCTGAATCTGTACCACGAAGGATTAAGGCAGTTCTGAAGGCAAAAGGGACCTGGTACTAGCAAGGTGTACGCAATAAATTGGCCAGTGAGTGTAGTTTACCAGACGTTTTATAAAAGGCCAAATGTACCTTGTTGCTTGGTTCCAGCTTCAGAGCCTTCCGTAAAGTTTGAATGGCTTCTGTGTATTCAGCCTGCAGAGCCAGAACCTAAAGCAGAAACACACAGCAGGCAACAGGTTAGAGGAGTCTGAGAAACACAACATGAAAGAATCAGAGCAAAGAGCACCTTGCCCATTCGAAAAAGTGCTTTAATATTCTCTGGTTGATGTTCAAGTGCTGAAACACAAGACTTCAGTGCTGCGTCATAGTGGTCCAGCTTCAGCTGAGAAGCAGCCATGTTGTTTAGACACTTTACTTTGACATCCAACAGCTCGTTCTCCTCCTCGGGGCTGATGTCAACTGCTCAAGGAAACATGATAAACAGTTAAGAGTCCTTATGTATCAAAATAAGAAAAATCAACTGTTAGTATCTTCTTAATATCTTTTCTTTTAGAAGGAAATATAAAGCTTTGCCTGACTCCTGCACATGCTTCTTACCTTTGGAACAAGAATCAGTAATCTGCAGGGCAACGCCATATGAGTTGACTGCAAAAGCATAATCCCCACGTTGGTAGTGAACATTCCCCCTCTCCCTCTTCTGAACAGCCAGGGCTATTTTCTCCGAGGGAGGAAGCAGCTCCAAGTCAGGTGCATCTGTAGCCTCCAACAGCTCCACCTCTAAGGAAAGCTCAGCATTTGGCGGAATGTCAGGATCAAGACTAGGAAGTGAAGGACGCAGGAGACAGAGTCAGGGACACCAGCCGTAGGAGACAGTTCACAGATATTACTGTCATGTTTCCTTCTTTTTCAGCAACCAAATGCAGGCACATTTACTGAGCACAGTGTTAGGAGGAGACACACTGGTAAATATAGCTTTAAAGGCATAGCTTCAGAGCAAATATGAACCGATATTGTTATTATCCACAGGCTTGATCTTCCTCACCACACCATTGTTTTAAGTGTTGGCTTAATAAAACTTCTAATCTTTGAAGAAACCACAAACATCCCAGACTCATTAAGCATTAATTCAACAATCAGCTGTCGGGGACAACTGTGAGCATCTCTCTCCTGCAATGTCCAATTCTTTAATATTTCCTCAAAACATCTCTGGTTTGAAAACTGTGACGTGAAAGTCATGTCTACATTTTGAACTAATAACACTAGATATAATGGCCCTAACGTGGCAGACTGTTCAGGAGCATTTCAAAATGTTTCCTACCTTCCTCGGACACCGTATGCGTATTTTGCATCTGTCTGGATGAGTGCTTTCTCTCCAATTTCCATAAGCTGCACTGTCAGATCCAGTGCCTAAATAGATTAAAGTGTTTTTTGCTTTAATGACTTACATGCAAATTTAACACACACATATATATATATTAGGGCTGCAACAAACGATTATTTGGATAATCGATTAATCGGATGGGGTCTCGACACGATTAATCGATTAATCGGATTACATGGGGAAATTTTTAAAAACTGCTAGGGAAACGTTATTTCTCTCCTTCCTTCACTTTATTTAACACAACATTATTAGAAAACAGTTCAATAGCAGAAAAACAACATGCCATCACCTAAATTGTCTTATAAGGTGTATAGACAGAGACCCTAAGCTACATCTATCTGTGACCTAAAATGCTTGGTCCAAGTTAAACAGCTTAAGGGCAATTCTCATCTGTTTTGTTTGATCTCATCTGTTGACATTTATTTTAAATGTAATTAAACATAGGCTGTGAATTTATCAAAATTGATCACTATTTCCAAAAATGACTGAAAAAATACCAAATAAAACAAAAGTAAATGAATGCCATCCTCCTTGCGATGATGCCCTGGGCAACTGCCATAAAGTCACATCAAGAAATGCTGCTGATCATTCCAATGATCCCAAATAGACTCACATTAGGCCACATGAAAGCAACTGAACCCAAAAATATATTAGCCAGTATATAACTGCACTCTCACACAACACGCCTGCAGCAACAGTTAGGACTCCTCCCTCCCTTTTAAAAGCGTTTTTGCTTCTGAGGACATTGTGGTTGTAAAACCACATGCTAGTAGTCTGGCCCCGGTGTGATCAACCAGTTTCTGCGGGAATGTGACGGCGGAACCAGGGCCAGATTAACACTTTGTTGTACCCTGGGCAACAATATTCAAGGGCTCCATCATCATGACCCAAGGATCACCATAATGTGGTCACATACAGAATATTTTACTGTAATATGCAGTAAATATACTCAATACTTGAATGCCTGACAACACGTAACCCGCCCAGAGTAACCTTTGACCCACCTCGTGTGGACTGACCAATGAGGAGAGGGTCTTAACTTGAGGCCCTCTCTTCATTGGTCAGTCTGCATGAGACTGACTCTCAACTGACGTTCAGTCGTAGGCAGCGAAGCGTCTCTGTGCAGTGCAAAAGCCCGGGTGGACAGTTTGTTTAATGTAGGGTGACCATATTTCCATTTCCAAACAAGAGGACAGGGGATCTGTGCCTATGACGTCACACTATGGCAACGCCACACAAACCATGTTGGGACCCATTTTTTGTAAGAACTAAATTAATATCAGATTCTGCCAATTAAAGGGCTCTAAAACAATTCATATGTAAATATTTTGCATATTTAATGCAAAATCTAATTTTTCTGCTTTAGTGTTGCAACAAGGTTTTATTAATAATAAATTACTACCTTTTGTTTTACTACAGCATCGGTAAGCTTCCTGTGCACAGATTATTAAGGATGCTTGTTTCAACTGTGAGATTAGACGATAGGATCAATGAAAAAATAAGTTGTCACACACTCCATGGAAACTTTCAGAGAATCCACAAATAGTGGCTTTCAAATGGTTTTGTTACTTTTTGCAAGTTTATAAAATAAGCAGATGAGACAGCATGTCTGATAATTTAGTTTTTCATCTGATAATATTAGAGCATGTCAGTAATGTCTGAGGGGCTTTTATAAACACTGTATAACTAACACTACTGGAGAGGGCATGAATTACACAGAGGCTTCTGGGGAGCCCAGTTATTGGGGGGGGGGGGGGGGGGGCATTTTGCCTTGGCCCCCAAAATGTCTTGAAACGGCCCTGGGTGTGTGACTGAGTTTTGAAGGTGATCTGAATTGTATCAGATGTATAAATATGACATGTGTATAACTTACTGTTTTTTACTGGTAAAAACGTGTAGTGGAGATAAATCTACCTACATTTTACTTTTCAACACTTTGTTTTGTTTTCTTGTTTTTATTGAACTATTTTCCTGTCCTGTCTGTCTCTCATCTTCCTGCATCTCCTCTTAATTCTCCAGAAAATCTGTTGCCTGGATTCTTACCTTTTCACCTCATCAGTTACTTTTGAGCAGGTCAAAGGGATCTCCTGACCGAAAAGCGCAGAGCGCGTTTTCGATGCTGCGTGAGGTGAAATCACCGCAGCACAGGTGATGAGCTCCGCAGTAGCGCGCTTCAGGCACAAATAAGACAGAAAATAGAGAACATGTGCGGACATGAACGATCGTGTGCTAATTATAGTTTTTTGGTTGCGCCACTTTGAGAATGGACCGTGCGCTGGAAGCAGCTGCCTGGATCGCTGTGCAACAATGCGGAACCGGTTCGCAGCAGCTCAAGTCTGCCGGCTCTCCCTCGCGCTGATCTGCCTGTACCGGCTCTCCCTCACGCTGATCTGCGGCTCTCCCTCGCGCTGATCTGCGGCTCTCCCTCGCGCTGATCTGCGGCTCTCCCTCGCGCTGATCTGCCGGCTCTCCCTCGCGCTGATCTGCGGCTCTCCCTCGCGCTGATCTGCGGCTCTCCCTCGCGCTGATCTGCGGCTCTCCCTCGCGCTGATGACTTGCTCTGGTCTGCGCGCAACGGCGGGCGGGAAGGGGGGGCGCTTTTGGAAGAGTTGTGCGACACAACGAATCGATGACGCAATTCGTTGCCAACGCTTTTAGTAATCGATTTTCATCGAATTTATCGATTCGTTGTTGCAGCCCTAATATATATATATATATATATATATATATATATATATATATATATATACACACACACACACACATATATATATATATATATATTATTAAAAACCTTTTCAACCAATCATCTGAGTTTTTCTTTTTCTTTTACCTGGATGACATCACCATCTCCCAGAGTGAAAGCGAGATCACATAGCTCCTGTGCAAGTGTACCATCCATCAAGTGTGTTTTAAGATGGATCTTTACGACCTGTCCTTTGTGAGGCCGACTGTCACGTCCCTTCCCTGCTTCAAGGACCTTTTTCTTCAGCTGGTCGTTCCCTAACAGCAGATAGATCTGTTTATAAAATTGGTTACATATAACGGAACCATTAAATGTTCATAACTATACAGTAATGGAATTCTAGCTTCTGCTGTGAATGCCACTAAATATTTGGAAAACATACAAACAACATACAAATGCAAACTATTAGCATGTTGTCTGTAAGAATGTGTCTGGTTTTGTCACATTTCCCTCATACCTAAAACATCTAGCCATTCATCAATGTTGCCAGAAGGTTCTGGATCTTCAACCCTTTTCTTTTCTGCATCTTCTGTTTTTTTACTGTTTCCACCCCCGGCATCTTCCAGAGGAGGAAGGTCGTCATAAATGTCTTCATCACACAACACCTCAAAGTCCTCCCCGCTGTCCAGCAACGAGGTTTGTCCATGCTTCTTAGCAGCAGGAGGTCCAGCTGAAGACTCCATTCTCAAACGTGTTCAGTCCTCAGCACATCACCTGATTAAGGAAAACAGAAAACAGCTTGAAGTGATTCACTTTCTGTGAAAAGTAAAACTGTGTATGTGCTGAATCCTAGTGAGGAAAAAAAGCCTTCAACTATGTGCAAGTCGACGTTAAACACTGTGATAGGTCACATGATGATAGCTACACAACTGTTTACCCAACACCTCCTTTAACGTCTATTTATTATTTTTAATTTTAGCAAACAATGTGGCAACATTTCGCAAATTTAATTATTACGCTACCTGTTAACTGTTGTGCCCTGACAAATCTAGCAAGAAGTTTTAACAAGTTTTCCTCCAGCTAAATGCCCAAGCGGCTAGCATGCTACTGCTAATGCAAGTAGCATTAGCCGGTTAAGCAATACAGGTACTAAACGATAATAACGAGTTTTTACTCTATTATACGATAAACCATTGGGTTTATCACGTCAATGCAGTGAGAGTGGGTCAAAGTGTATATGCGTTAATCGAAATAAAGTACAACAAACCTCCAAGTGGGCTTGTTTCGGTCCTGAGCTGTCCCTTCGTTAAACTCAAAGTGAAGTCAGTTCAACGTTGTACTGATGTGTCGGTAGTGAACGAACTGGCTCTAAGAGCCGGCTCTTTGAAGTGAACGACGGGAGCCGGCTCGTCATTGGGAGCCGTCCCCTCCCCTTTTGCTTTGGTGAACGCCACAGGCAATTGGTCAACATGTGTAACTGCGTGTCCAGACTGTCCACACACAGAGCAGTAGGGGCGGGGAAGAGGGAGGATCAGACTCAGACACACAGCAGAGCACATGCGGGTGGAGGGAGACGAGAGGGAATGAGGAGGAGGGAAAAGGCGAGAGAGAGAGAGAGAGAGAGAGAGAGAGAGAGAGAGAGAGAGAGAGAGAGAGAGAGAGAGAGAGAGAGAGAGAGAGAGAGAGAGAGAGGAGAGTGCGGCGAAGACGGTGAGAAAATGAGCGCCAGCAGTCAGAAAGTGGAGATTTCTTAAAGTGTTCAGTTATTAAATCCATTCAAATGATAAATAGTTTATATATTGCAATTTTTTACATTAGTAAATCATGTTACATATATTTTAGCATTTTTTTTTGGTTATAAATATACTCTACGCAACAGAAAATGTGAGGAGCCACTTGGGAGCCGAAAGAGCCGGCTCTTTTTGGTGAGCTGAGCCAAAAATACCGGCTCTCTAAAAAGAGCCGTAATTCCCATCACGTCGTTGTGAGGCGGAGGACCCAAAAAATAAAAAAAAAGTACGCGTGTTGATATGTTCAGCAGCAAGCGAACTTCAGCCCTGTGCTTCCTGTTAACCTTGAGCTCCCCCTTGGTGCAAGTTAATATTTTACCTCACTAACATGGAAACGACAGCAGTTTGGAGTTTCTAGTAATTTTCCTTAATTAAAAAGGTAAAAGTAGATAATAATAATAATAATAATAGTAATAATAATAATAATAATAATAATAATAATAATAATAATAATAATAATAATAATTAGAAGAAGAAAAAGAAGAAGAAGAATAGATGACTGAATTTTTGTTATTTGTAAAGGGACATTGCATACTAATGAACATTTACATATTTCATGTAGGTAAATATGCATTATTTTAGCCCGGGTTAATTTCCATCAATAAATGTTAAATAAATGTAACATTATTTTGTCCAATTTGATTATGTTAATAAAATATTCTCAAAGCATATGGACACGTTTTTAATCATGCTCTGCAACATGAAATTTCAAAACCCGCGCCAACGCCAAAATCCCAATTGCCTTTCTCTATAGTTGAAAACATTTGACAGCGTGAACTGAATCTTTGGCTTCTATTAGTTTCACCTTTAGGCTGCCACATGTTTCAGTAAACTTAAAAGAAAGATTGTAGCCACTTCTAAAATATTTTAAAATAATTTATGCATGGATTTATTAGGTTGACATAACATTATTTATGGTATTTGTGCTTCTAGGTCAATTTCTTCTGAAACCCTCCAAAATTGCATTAAAGGATTACACAGGTTTTTAAAAGACATTCAGTGCCTTTTTTACTGAATTAGTACAACCATGTTTTTCTATAGTAGTAGTAGGTTGATTTATGAGCATGTGCTTTTTTCCACCTGTCTACAAAATCACGCTTCATTTCTGTAGAATAATTGTTGGACAGTAATAATTAGAAAAACAATCAGCTACACATCATATAGTGAAACCATTTTTTTTGCAAATTTAAGCAATATTAATGCTTACCTTTTAGGTATGTTTATAAAATTCAGGAAATTTCATGGTTTCACTTAAATATTTACTAGTTGGGTGCAGTCCCGATTCTGTAATTATTTAGTGTTAAAGCAACATCTCTGACCTTTTGTTTATCGTGTGGAAAATTACAATTTGAAATATTCACATATATTTATTATTATTTTCCAAAAACCCATTACTTTAGATATTTTCAAACAGCAAACTTAATGACACATAGACCCGTCATAAATAGCAGATTTAAAAAGGTACAAATATATCCAATTTGCTTACATTTGCATTTTTTAAATCATGTCTACACTTGTGATTATTTGGTTTTCATCAAATGTTTTCTTCCAGAATAGTACCTTGTCATCAGTTCCGGCATCAATTCCCACCTTTCTTGCTGTGAGGAAAACAAAGAAATTCAAACAAGAGGGGAAAAAAAATCAAATGACATTTATTATTGATGCATCGTTTCTTTTTTATAAGCAAATTGTCTGTTTTTCTTTCAGTCTAAAAGAACTTTACAATAAAAAGAAACATACAAAGAACATCTTTATTACCTACACAAGACAGCTAAATCCCTAAGACAAGATTCTCGACTATCCTACCATGAGATACAAAGCAAACCCAAGAGACAGACTGCTTCATATTGAATACTGCCGTGTCATTAGAGGACCGTGATTGGAGAATCCTTTATATCCCCATCCTTTAAACCCCCCTCCCCCCAAGCAAAATGACCACAACCCCCCGCCCCCTCCGACCAGCAAATCTTCCTAATGGTACAGTATTATACATCACAATAGAAGTACAGAGATGGCCAACGATCAATATACACAGAGGACTGAGAGAGGATCAGTGAGAGAGCTTCAAACTATACAATGCTATCACGCACGTGAATAGTTTTTCCTCGTAAGTTTTAGATTTTGATCTCTTTAATTTAAAATGTTTCCTTTTTTTTCCATTTTTAAAAGTTTTCGTTAATCAATAGAAATCCTTCATATGAAAAACTGCAACCTGAGGTCACATGCACTATTTTTTTGAGAGAAGATGCCCTTTGGAAAACCTATTCACATGATTCTTTAAAAAAAACGTTTTCAAAACCAAACAGCAACATTTGACTGAATCGAGTCAAGGGCAGAGCGAGGACGCCGCAGCAGCGCGTTTGCTTCTCTCTGGCCCATCCTCCCCCCGACACACACGAGCCTTTAGCATACAGTCCGTGTGTCATTTTATACATTTAGTCACTTTACAGTATTCTATAAATTTAGCCACACAAGCCTTTCTCACATCCTTTCTCTATGAAAAAAGAAAACATGAACAGTTTTATTTATAATTTACTTTCAGCTGTATTCATTGGTAGTGACTGACATATCAAAACATGTCAATGATATCAAAATGCATTATACAGTATTTACAAGAAAACAAGAGAGAGAAAATGAAAGGGTGGGAGGGAGGGAGGGCGGTGTGTCACTGCTTCTAAGGAACGCTGGACAGAGAGAGATTTCCAAGCCACTGATGGCCAAATCTTGGAGATACCCCAACTGATATCTGGGCACTATCTGTTCACAGTCGTATCAGTAAATCATAAGAAGTCTCCGACAGAGGTTGCAGTGGTTCTTTAGTTATTGTTAGTGGATAGATCGAAGGAGGCAGAATCGTTGAATCAGACTGACTGTGTCACCACACTTTTGTTTTTGAGTAGATTATTGGGGCTTTAACTTCAGCTGAATACATCAGAAATAAAAATAAATGTTGAAAACAATCTACAAATGGTTCCTTCTCTTTAGACGAGCTCAAGATGAATCACATCACACAAACCCATGAGTCCATTACCCTATTTAAAGGGGCTTTCCTAGAAAAACAACGTCGTTTTGCAGAGACTGTGCCGGTTTCGTTTGAAAGTTGATCAACAGAATCTGTGACATCACTTGGGCGTCATGAACCAGAATGGGAAGAGCATTTCTGGTTTCACAGACACCTTGTAAATAACAAATAAAAACAATCGAATTTTGTTGTTTTTACAGACAAGAACAAGACTACAGAGGAGACAAGAAGATGCAGAAAATCCTCCATCGTGGTCTGTTTCTGAATACGAAGCAGCTCCTCTCCTGACAGTCGGCTCATCGTGTCGACAGAACAGAAACAGACAGCTGTATTTGGGTTTACAAAAGACAAGACAGACAAACAGCTGATCATCCATGTGCATCAACAGTCAATCTGTATCAGAAAACAGCAATGCTCAGATCAGGCCTCATTAGAAATCTTTCCTGTGAACGTCTAGGAGAAAGATCCAGGAGGCAAAGACAAAGTTGCAATGCATTTTTGTGCAGAGGTGTCTGAAACAAATCTGTAAGTCTAAAGAAAACAGTCAGAAAATCAATCATTCATCCAATGTGTGCTTGCTGCTGCAGAGATAAAACACAAGAATAGCATCGGCTATGCAAATTAGAACAATATCAACTCAAAAAATGCATGAAATCATTCTAGCCCTAAAAGATCATCACAAGTTCATGTTTTAGTAATCAGTCCAGAGCATCTGAATGAGGGTTTTCTGTCCCAAAACAGTGCTAAATGAACAGAGTAGTCCTGATAATGCCCGAATGCCACCCACAAGAGCAGGTTTGGTTTTTGTCAGAGATGCAGACTCGATGCAGGTTCAGGCTCTGGGGCCCTTGACGGATCCTAGCAGGAGAGAAGAAGAAGTTGTAGTGAGGAGCTCCTTCCTGCTGTTCCAAGACCATTTCATGCTCTGACGCCCATTTTACAGGCAGCAGGATGTTGAGTCTTCAGGGAAGTCCTGCTCTCCAGGGCAATCCCCAGGAGCTGTGTGGCACACCATCCACGATGATAAAGGAGAAGGAGGACGAGGAAGGTGATGCAAGACACAGCAGGGTGGTCGGGAGGGGGATTCAGATAAAAGGAAATGAAAAAGGTGAATAAAAAAAAATCACACACTCATCGTCATGTTGGGTGAATACTGTAAAACAGAGACAAGAGAGGAGAGACTTGTTTATTAACATTACAGTTCACGCTGGTCTCACATTAAGAATAAGAATTTGACGCTGATGTTTCGTTCATTAATATGTGCGTCTGAACAGCCTGCAGGCGTGTGAATGAGTTCAGTAAATTTAGGGAAAATTAAAGGTTTTTGGAGACAAACGTTTCCATCTGTCCTGGTTTAAATTGTGACTTTTTGTGTTTTAAAAAACAGATCTTATAACTCTGATATCTCTGATCGAAAATTGTAATTTTGAGTCAGGCTAAAGGAATGTTCAGAAATAAAGAGCCAATCCAACATTAAAGAGCAAGTCACTCCAAATCAACATTTTTTGCTGATAAACTATATAAATGAGTGTCTGATTGTGCTGCAGACAAATGTAGTCAATAACTCGGCACTAGTCTTAGTTAAAATTTAAATATTCTGCCTAAAACTGTCAGCGATGCACCGTCGTCAGGCAAAAACTCTGCACTGCATTTGAAATTAAATCTTCCGTCGCTATTGGCTAAGAGGTACACTATGATGTTAGATAGTACATTATGATGTCACAATGTCGTGAGTGTGTGTATTTGTTAGCAGCTCCGCCATCTCGTTCTGCTAAGCAACAGCATTTGTTGCATTTTTCAAACAGGAAGTGGGAGTTGAGTAAGAATCTGGCAGGGGGTGACTTGCTCTTTAAACATTTTGCACACATATCAAACTGGGTTCCCATGGTAACAGTCAAATCATCTTTCAGCTAAAGGGGAAAAAAACATCATATGAATACAATCTGCTAATTGTGGTTTGTTTTACTATAAACTGGTCAAATAAAATATGTTTCTGCTTTAAAATCAGATTTAATACTCTCAGCAGTGCCTACATGCCCATGGCACATGGCTAACTGAGTAGTAGACGCTCTCCGGTGCACGGCTTGGGTTTTAACTTTCTCGTACTCACACTTTCACTTTGGAATGGGTTTAAAAAGTTGCCTGCCATCTCTCCGTCATCCCGCGGGGTGCCGGGAGGATTGTTCATGCCCGCCATATTGTTGGGAGAATTCTGCAATCCGGATGAAAAAAAAAAAAAGTACAATGATTAAAAAAGTAGAAAAAAACCTGATCTGGATGACATATTCAGAAAACTCGTCTGACCTTTGGCAACCCATCCATGTCACCAGAACCTGTGATCAGAAATGGAATGAGAAAGAAAGCCATCACCATTAACTGATCACCATCCAGGATCTCCTGCAGAAGGAGCATCTACTCCCCTCCTCACAAGTAATGGCCTCTAATTAAGCTATTTGTTTCAGATACAGATGAGCAAGAACCTCACTGGCTTTGCTGATCACATCACACCCACAGGATCAATTGGCCTTCTTACCGCCCCACTAATCTGTTTTAGCTCTGATCAATACAAAGCTGAAAGACAACACTTCCTGTCTCAGCCATAAGAGGGCAGAGTCCTTCCTTTAAAGACCTCTGACCAAAAACCAAAACAAGAAATAAACTCAGCAGACCTGTTACGTAGGCCGCGACCCACCTAGTGATCCGTTCATATGATGCTGCTCCATAGCTCCCATTCCACCCATGGGTCCATCTGGACCTGGTCCCATTGGGAACTAAAGACAAAAAGAGTCAAATCACTATTTGTTCTTTATGCATCCAAGTTGAATAAATCCGTTTTGCTCAAACGTCTCAAAAAGATCAACCACATATATTAAAATGAACTTTGATTAATCATTGAAATAAAAAGGACCTCACTTACGCTAGGTCTGTTTCCACCGGGACCGATGGGATTCATCATTGTGTAAATGTTTTCACTGGAATTTGTAGAATCTGTAGAAATAAAATGATTGAAAATGTTTCAAGTGAGAAAACTGTAAAGCTTTAATTAGACATGAAGGTACCAGCAGATAAAATCTGTCAGTTTTCAGCGCAAACATGCAAATATTTAGAAAATAAATCTTCTAAAGTAAGTCAAACTTAAGGAAACAGGAACAAATGATCCCGAGTCTTGGCCCTGTCATTCGACATATTTGATGCTATTATTATAATAAATATTCCAACAGTAGAGTATATTCTGTAACAGCACGGGATCACACATGTCAGCTCCCTGTGTCTCACAATGAAATTAAACCCATCGTTCCTTATTCCTGTCATGAGGAAATTAGATACGGAAACCGTGGCAATGGAGCAACACCCAGAACATGCTGCGTCACACCTTGTGAGCCTGTCTGTCTGTCCTGCAAAAATCCAGAGGGATAAGGTGACCTTGCTCTGGCACTGCAGGTGGCCGATAAGGAAAAATAAAACAAAGACTAGAAAACCGAAGAAACCTCATCTTCTGGTGTCCTTGAATGTGTCTTGTGGTGTTGTGACTGCGTAGGGAGGCACATGAGAGGTGTGCATATATGAGCGAGGTTTGTGCGCATATCAGGTGTGAGCGCACACGCCTGGCAACCGCGGCGGAAACATGTTTTCCCTGCTGATTTGTGTGTGTGTGTGTATGAGCAGCGCTGTGAAAAGGTTGCCCCGCAACGTATCACAACAGAGGCATGTATATAAATAATAAATGGGCAGACATAAAAAGAAACCCTCTACAGGCCAACAGGAACAGGGTATTTACAGGGTATCAGCCTTTTAGTGTTCCGTTTTCAGTCCTCCACCGAGACGCTTTATTAATGGGTTGAAGCTGGGTAGAATCAGTCAGACTACTACACACCTCAACAGGAGGCAGTTCTGTGCAAAAGTTTAAAACCAGCCATCATTTGTTTGTGTTCCCCTCCCCCAAGGTTGCCAGACATTCCAGTAATCTTTAAAAATGATCCCAATAAATAATAATTCAGGCTCTTTGAAGATGTTTCAAAGATTTCCTTAGGACCTCGGCTTCTTTTATACTCAATTTCAGTTCAGGTTTTCGTCCTGACCTTGACTGCAGATTCTACAAATTTTTCTTATATGGAGAAAAATGGATATGTGGAGCTCGAAAAGGGAAGTGCGGGGCTTAAAATCTTTTTATAGCATCCATCCATCCCTTTTCAGCCACTTATCCAGAGTCGGGTCACGGGGCCAGAAGCCTGAGTCGGGATGCCCAGACTTCCCTCTCCCCAGCCACTTGAGCCTGCTCTTCTGGGAGAATCCCAAGGCGTTCCCTGACCAGGTGAGAGACATAGTCCCTCCAGCGTGTCCTGGGTGTTCCCTTCGGTCTCCTTCCAGTTAGACGTGCCCAGAAAACCTCACCAGGGAGGCGTCCAGGAGGCATCCTGACCAGATGCCCAAGCCACCTCAATTTTTTTCTTCTTGACATGGAGGAGCAGCGGGTCTACTCCGAGCCCCTCCCGAATGACCAAGCTTCTCACCCTATCTCTAAGGATAGATGCCCTGCAGAGAAAACAAATTTTGGCCGCTTGTATCTGCGATCTCGTTCTTTCGGTCACTACCCAAAGCTCGTGACCATAGGTGAGGGTAGGAACGTAGATCGACCGGTAAATCGAGACCTTTGCCTTCCGGCTCATCTCTCTCTTCACCACGACAGACCGGTACATCGCCTGCATCACTACAGGCACAGCACCAATCCACCTATCGATCTCACGCTCCATCTTTCCCTCACTCGTGAACAAGACCCCGAGATACTTAAACTCCTCCACTTGGGGCAGGACCTCATCCCTGACCTGGAGAAGGCATTCTTCCCATTTCTGAATCAAGATCATGGTCTCGGATTTAGAGGAGCTGATTCTCATCCCAGCCACTTCACACTCAGCTAAGAACCGCTCCAGCAAAAGGTGGAGATCACGTTCTGATGAAGCCAACAGGACCACATCATCTGCAAATGCAGAGACCTGATCCTCAGGCCACCAAAACAGATCCCCTCAACACATTGGCTGTACCTAGAAATTGTGTCCATAAAGGTTATGAACAGAAATGGTGACAAAGGGCAGCCTTGGCAGAGTCCAACTCTCACTGGGAACGAGCTCGACTTACTGCCGGTGATGGACCAAGCTCTGACGCCTGGTACCCCATACTCCTGGAGTACCCCCACCCCCACCTCCCACAGGGTCCCCTGGGGGATGCAGCCGACAGCCTTCTCCAAATCCACAAAACATATGTAAGTTGGTTGGGCAAACTCCCACGCACCCTCCAAGGTCCCCCTAACTCTTTATAGCCTATTAACATTATATGAAAGTTATATCGTTAAATAACAAGACAGAATTCCTGCAAAAGGCTGCATCAGAAACTGAGAGATGCATCATTCCTAGGTTTATGTCAGGTTTTCAGTTAATAAAAATGGGTTCAGAAGATAAGTCTTATCTGTTCAGAGACTCCACATTATTGGACCGGAAGTAGATGGGCAGGATTAGGCTTCCCATTTCTAAATGACGTCAGTTAAGTCTTTAGTGTCTATAAAATGTATGTTTTATTATTTTTTAGAAGAAGAGGAGGATGAACCCTGTGTCCATGTGGACATTGACTTCTTGCACTACAACATTTATTCTCTTCAACTTAGACCGTTTTTATTATTTGGAGACACTTGACATTGATTTTAAGTTTAAACATTTTTCTTTTTTTTAAAGTTTGTACAAAATTGTATTTAAACATTTTTTTGTTTATGTTCATGAGAGCCAAACAATCTGTAAAGCTAGAAATCTTTTAATCTTTTAAAACACACTCAATATAAATTTGGGTCAAATACCATATCATGTGAGTTTATTTATAAAGCACAATTTAAGAATAGCATGACGGCTAACCAAAGTGAAGAAGAAGAAGAAACAATCTTCTATTTAGTGTCTTTAAAGATAAAAATCACAAGGTGCTTCACAAGAACATAAATTACAAATACAAAAAAAAAAAAAGATTTAAAAGTTATTTAGAAATGTCATGAAATTGGGAGGAACAAAAAATTGTGATTAAAAATGTGAGGAAAGGGTAAAGGAGAGTGAATAAGAAAGACAATCAGTGGATCCAGGGAAAGGCAGAATGGGTAGAAATAGCAGAACAAGGAGAGGGTGGTGATGAAGATCACACTAAAACCAGCCTGAACAGGTGAGTTTTCAGCTGCTTTTTAAAGGAGTCCACTGATCTCAGGCTCAGGGGGAGAGAGTTCCAGAGTCTGGGGGCCACAGCAGCAAATGATCTGTCACCTTTGACCTTTAGCCTGGTGCGCTGCACAACCAGTAGGCTTTGATCACTGGACCTCAGGGACCTGCTGGGCGGGTAGGGACTAAGAAGTTCACCAATGTAAGATGGTGCTTGTCCATGTAAGGCCCTATAGACCAGAACCAGGATCTTGAAATGAACCCTGAAGTTGACTGGCAGCCAGTGAAGCTGGAGGAGAAGCAGGGTGATGTGGGTGTGTTTGGAGGACTTGGTCAGAAGCCGAGCACAGGTATTCTGAACCACCTGTAGACGGTTCACAGTCGGGCCAAAGTCAACCACCACTCCCGAGGCAGAGGGCCCCACAGAGGAAACACTGGTATGATTAAAATAAGTAAAATGAGAGAAAAAAAATAATAACAATAGCTGATATGGATAGTAAAATAACTAATAAAAACTGATTAAAGAGACACTAAAACATAAATGTCTAATACCACTTAAATGGAAATAATAAAATAAATTAATTAATTAATAAAACAGGTGATGCAGCTAAAAACAGATATCAGTTAAAAACTAAGCTAAAAAGGCGAGTCTTGAGCCTGCTCTTAAAAACATGAACATTCTCTATGACCCTGAGGACCCTGAGTGAAAAGAGAGTTACAGTAGTCTAAGTGTGAGGAGATGAAGGTGTGGAGAACTGTCTCAAGTTCAGAGCGGGACAGAATGGGACTCAGCTTAGCAATGTTCCTGAGATGGAAGAAGGAAGAGCGAACAAGACAACCGACATCAGAATCCAAGGTAAGAGCTGGGTCAAAGGTCACGCCAAGATTCCTGACAGAGGGTTTGGTGTGAGAAGCAAGCTGACCAAGAGAGTCTCTGACTTTGGGAACCAGCTTGTCTGGGGCACAGATGAGGATCTCAGTCTTATCTTCATTCAGCTGTAGAAAGCTCCCAGCCATCCAGGTTTTGATAGAGTCTAAGCAGGTGTGTAACAGCTGCAGCTTAGACATCTCATGGGGCTTAAAGGAGATGTACAGTTGGATGTCATCTGCATAAAGATGGTAGGAGATTCCTTTAAAGGAGCTCAGGATGTGCTGAAGAGGGAGCAGATAAAGGAGGAAGAATAGAGGACCATGTGGGATACCATGAGTGAGGGAGGTGGTGGAGGACCGAAACTTGGAGACAGCCACAGAGAAGGAATGCTCAGACAGATAAGAGGAGAACCACTCCAGGGGACTTCCTGATAGGCCTACCCAGTGTCTCAGCCTCTCAGTAGCAGGTGATGGTCAACAGTGTCAAAGGCTGCAGTCAGGTCCAGCAGGACCAGAACAGAACAGTTCCCTGCATCACTGTGAGTCAGAAGGTCATTAGACACCCTAAGAGCTGTTTCAGTGCAGTGACCTCTACAAAAACCTGGCTGGAAGCTATCATAGATGTTATGTTCATCAAGAGCAGCTGTGAGTTGTTTAGCCACAACCTTTCCCAAGATTGTTGGAGATAAACGGAGGTTTTTACAATAAAAGAGCAAAAAGCTTGGACACCACAAGAGACATATCACAGAAAAGAGATCCAAGAAAAGGTTAAAAAAAAAACCTGTATAAAAATATATAGGTAAAGAAAAAAAATCAAATAGTGAGTAAACAATCAAGCAAGAGGAATAAATACACAACGCCAAGAGGTGAACGAAGACTTGGCCACTTAAAAATTACACAAATTAAACCAGAGGGCTAAAGAAACACAAGAAATATAAAATATTTATATCTAAGTTTATTCAATCATACTTAAAAAAATATTTTTTCAGTCTTTCTCAATTAAATTTAGAGCTGCCTTCAATAAAGGCAGCTCTGAGTAATGGCTGACTTGCTAGTCAAAACTCAAAACAATGTTTTCTTTTTTTGTTTGTTTTCTGTTGCAAAGCTGCAAAAGTGTTTATTCTTCGGGTTTGGGAGACTTTTAACTCCAGAACGATTAATAAATTATACCTAAGTAGCAAAAAATAAATAAATAAAATACCCAAACAAAACTATATTTCATAGAAAATGGTCAACAAATTCAAAATATTATTGACTAACTAACTGACTAACTGACTAACTAACTAACTAACTAACTAACTAACTAACTAACTAACTAACTAACTAACTAACTAACTAACTAACTAACTAACTAACTAACTATAATAGAAAACAATGAAATGACTTGAAACCGTTTTCCTGATTGGCTCAGTAATAGTAATAAGTTAGGTTTTAAAATATAACAATTTTAATGTTTGGAGGAAATGAGATTAAATCCACTTTAGAATTTTCTAAAATTTCTTCTTACATGACAAAAGCTGAGCTCTGCTTTTTCTATGAAAGAGAGGAGTTTCTGTCAGAGATCAGGTTAGATAAACCATCTTTTTGTGAGCAATAGATAGGAGATCAAAAGGACTGGAGCATTACACTCACCTCCGGGGCTAGGCATGATGGGAGTTCCTGGGGGGCCGCCTCCCCCTGGAGGACCCTTCGGGAGTTAGAGAAGAGGAAGGAGAATCATGAGTTCCGACAGCATCTAGATGGCAGTTTGCCAGTTTGATATCACAGCATGACAGCCAATTTATGGCTTGTGGTGGAACATGAGTTCATGACAGGACACTTACCACGTAGTTTCCTGGAGATGAAGATGAATAAGCTATCTGTGGCGGGAATAGACACAAGGAGGAGGAAAACATGAGGCATAGTTATTGTAAATACACCCAGTCATAACAGAAAGATGATGTGAGGGGCGAGACTCACCGAGTTATTGTTGGGGTTCGGCCATGGACCTCTTCCACCAGGACCCCTGGGAATAAAAACCACAGAGAAAGATTCACATATTAGATTTGTGCACGTTTTACTGATAGATAATGAAAATTACAGAATCTACCACATGAATATCATATAATATAATATAATATAATGTAATGTAATATAATATCATATATATATATATATATATATATATATATATATATATATATATATATATATATATATATATATGATACCACCTGGCTGCTCGTGTTTTAATACCCCCAGATCACGGGGCAGAGGTGGAGGGCTGGTTGTTGTTTTTAAATCCAGCTTTCCTTGTAAACAGCGTACACCCACCATGTCATTTTCTTCCCTTGAACTGTGCTTATTTGAACTGTGCATCTCCCCCCGCCTGCTTCTCGTGCTGATTTATCGCCCTCCAAAGACTGACTCTAACTTCCTTAATGATTTCTGTGATCTTGTGGCAGACTGCATCCTAAAATATGACTATGTCCTATTTTTAGGTGATTTTAACATCCATATCTGCTGTCCTGATAATGTGCTTGCTAAAGGTTTTTTTAATTTGCTAGATTCATTCAATCTAACTCAATGGGTATCATTCCCAACTCATGCCAGGGGTCACACCCTGGACCTGGTTATCTCTTATGGTCTACCCGTCACGAACCTTGTGACTTTGCCTCCTGTGTTCTCTGACCACTCTCCTATACTCTGTGATGTTACGTTGCCATGTCCTGTCTCTGTGTGTGAAGCTCCCGCTACTAGGTTCAGAGCCCTGGATGCAGAAACTATTTCAAAGTTTGTGGACTGTATGTCTGTAAGGTTAGAGAGCTTTAACCCAGATCCATCTAACGTTGATCACTATTCACAACACTTTGATGTACTTTGTAATCAGGTCCTGGACGTGGTTGCCCCTCTCAAACTTTGCAAGTCTAGGCCTAGGAGGGAGCCATGGCTCTCTGATGTCACACGGGCTTGCAGGCGGGCGTGTAGATCCTCGGAGAGAAAGTGGAAAAAGGATGGCCTACAGGTCTCGCGTGAGTTGTTCAGAGCATCTCTGGTTGCTTATCAGGATGCTGTGAAGGCCGCCAGAATGGCCTATTTTGCAGACATCATTGAAACAAACTCCAATAATCCTAAGATTCTCTACAAAACGCTAAACTCTGTTCTGGTGTATCAGGAGCCTAGCTCCATGTCTCCTACAGCTGCTGGAAACTCTGAAGCTTTTCACAGATTCTTTGTAGATAAAGTGTCGGGCATTAGAGCAGTCATTTCAAGTAACTCTGTTGACCCTGTTCCAGTTCATCCATCACCACCCACCCTGAGCTCCCTCAATACAGTTTCATACTCTGAGCTGAGTAAGCTAGTTGCGAGACAGAAGCCATCTGGCTCTCCACTTGACGTTCTGCCACCTCGTCTCTGGAAGGCTGCCTTTCCGTGCCTTGGCCCTTCACTTGGTCAGATTATCAATGGGAGCCTCAGCACAGGTGTGGTCCCAGCTGCTTTGAAAGCAGCAGTTATTCGGCTGACCCTGAAGAAACCTGGTGCTGATGTCTCTGTGATAGAAAATTACAGGCCTATCTCTACCCTGCCTTTTACATCAAAACTGCTTGAGAAAGTCGTTTATCAGCAGCTGGTCTCACATTTAGCTGACTCTGATCTGTTTGAGGTTTTCCAATCAGGGTTCAGGTCTGGCTATAGCACAGAGTCTGCTCTACTGAGGGTCCTAAATGACATCTATCTATCACTAGATCAGGGAACATCTGTGGTGCTTCTGTTGTTAGACCTGACAGCAGCCTTCGACACAGTTGACCACGCGATTCTACTCGATCGCTTGGAACGATGGGTTGGGATCAAAGGGTCAGCTCTGGATTGGTTTAGATCGTATCTCCAAAACAGGACATTCTGTGTTAAACTGGGTGATGTTTTTTCTTCTTGGGAGGGGCTCCGCTGGGGGGTCCCGCAGGGGTCGATCCTTGGTCCTCTTTTGTTTGGCATTTATCTGCTACCTCTGGGGTCAATCTTTCGTAAACATGGCCTATCATTCCATCCGTATGCTGACGATTGCCAGATATACTCTCCATTGTGTCAGGAGAAAGGTCACTCTATTCAGTCTTTTGTCTCCTTTGTTAATGAGGTGAAGTCTTGGCTAATGTCCAGCTATCTACATCTGAATGAGGGAAAGACAGAGCTCATTGTTTTTCACCCCAACAGCAGGAATGTGGATCGTTATGCTGATCTTGGCCCTCTTTCTCCATACTCAAAACCAGTTGTTACCAGTTTGGGGGTGAAACTTGATGTAGGACTTAAATTTGATGCTCACATCAATTCTGTGGTCCGGTCCAGTTTCTTTCACCTGAGACGCCTTGCTAAAATCAAGCCTATGCTGTCGAGAGCCCACCTGGAGCGGGTGCTGCATGCCTTTGTAATTTCTAGGCTTGATAACTGCAACTCTCTATATGCAGGGTTGTGTCAGTCAACACTGCGTCGCCTACAGGTTGTGCAGAACAGCGCAGCCAGGTTCCTGACTGGGACCAGGAAACGGGACCACATCAGTCCGGTTCTGGCCTCTCTGCACTGGCTTCCGATTTCCTATCGCTCACAATTCAAAATCCTCGTCTTTGTTTATCATTTCTTCCAGGGTGGTGCTCCCCCCTATCCGGCCACACTCCTGAAAAGACACTCCCCATCACGCGCTCTGCGCTCCTCTGACCAAGGCCTGCTCGCTGTCCCTCGCTCTAGGTGTCGTACCCGTGGGGACCGGGCTTTCTCAGTCCTAGCACCGTCACTCTGGAACCAGTTGCCACCCTCAGTTACTGTCCCCTTCTCTGCCAGTCTTTAAGAATCACCTAAAAACACACCTCCTCCGCTTGGCGTTTCCAGAACATGTTTGATTTTGGCCCTCTTTTATGTTGAATCCATTCCACAGTTTTCATTGGTACACTCAATCCAAATGTGTTTCACACATTTGTCCTTTACCGGACTGCTTCATCTATCTTGTAATTTCCATTTTGTACTTTGTAATTTGTATTTTGTAATTTGAATTTCTTTTATTGTTGATTTATTCAATATATTTACTTAACTGTACCATGTTCAGCGCTTTGGGCTTCCTGACAGGGTTGCGGAAGGCGCTTTATAAATAAAGCTTTGATTGATTGATTGATTGATTGATTGATATACATAAAAGCTACCATAAAAAAGAGCTGAAGATGGGTGTTAGCACGGTAACCTGATATTAAACCAGTCACTGACTTTCAGATTTTTATATTTAACTGTAAATTTAAGGTGAGGTCATGGAGGACAGTCAATCAAATTAAGAATTTAACATATTTTTTGTTATACAATTATGAAACATGTTTAGCTTCTCATTTCATCAAATTCACTGTCCTGTTGCTACAAAAACCTTTCAAGAAAACCCTGGTGGACAAAACCAAAATACTGAAACATACAATCTCTTTTTTCACTGAAATTAGATCTTTAAAATTCATTTATATTCTTTTTAAAATATGGAGCAAATTTAGCTTTTTTCTAAAACAAAACTATATTTTTGTAAATGTAAATGGAAGTTACATAATTATTTTTTATCATAACATTCTTTAACAATTCAAGAATAAAAGTAATAAAAAATAAAAATAAAAAATACAGAAATGAATTTGAATCAGCTCTATCACCAGACAGCAGAGGACATGAAGATTTTGATACATTTTAAAGAAAAGAATGTACTAATCCTGCTGAAGAGGTAGAGATCTTAGAAACGTAAACGTAAAATGAGACTAAAGCTGGTTCTGTTACTAGTTTTGTTCTATTTGGACACTAGTGGATCTTAGTATACATGTCAAAAACTATATTTCAGCCTGGGGTGATGGGTGGGTAACTCCAGCAAAGCCTTTGAAGTTGTTTTCAAATCTTTCATGCACAATGACCCATAATCATCACTTGTACACATAAATGCGGTATCCCTCAGGGTTAAGTTCTTGGTCTGATTACCTTTTCTGTAAACACACTACCTCTAACATCACTGGTAGTTATTTTATTTGGTCTGATTGTTATCACTGATACCAATCAGTTATTCCTCTTTGTTTCACCCCCTAATGACCCTGATGTGATGAGGGTTCTCTGCAGGAATTAGCAAAATAAAATTAATAAAAGCCACGCAACACCAACGAATCTGAGGTACAGACTGTTGACAATGAAGATGAAAGTCTATGAAGATTTTTTTTGGGGGGGGGGGGGGGGGAGATGCAAACAACAGATAAATAATAATCATTTCTTCATCAGCCTACTAACATGTTCATGCCCGGCATCCCTGGTCCCATGGAGTTGGGAGGGGGCCTCATTCCTCCACCATAGCTCTGCACAAAAAAACAGGAAACAGATCAGAGTCTCAGATTTATGTACAAATCTTTATTAGTGATCATATTTCTCACGCCGCGTGTGTGTGTGTGTGTGTGTGTGTGTGTTCCCACTCCCTTTGGTACATTCGCATGTATGTTGTGATGAGTGCCCAGTGGGCGGGTTTGGCTGCCCCTACATGTTTGTACTTGAATGAGTGTGTGGCTGAGTGACAGAGCAGGGGGCAGGCCACAGAGCTGCTCCACTCAGAGGAAGAGTTTTGTTCAGCAGACGATTACACTTGTCGAGCAGATGCCACACCAGCTGCCGGCGTGCTCACTGCCAAAGTCACAGCACCAGGATGGCACATAGAGAGTCCGAAGGGCACAGGAAAGGAGAGAGTGTTTGTGTGTGTCTTTGAGTGAGGTGGCGGGTGCAGCGAGGAGCACCTGTCTGGTTAGGAAAACTCAGCAAAAATGTTCTTTGAGAATCTAAAAAAACCACAATATGCAAATCGAATGAGCACAAGTGATCAATGAGAACGGTTGCTTGAACTTTTTTCAAAATTGAAATTATTTGGTGGCAACATGATCACAGCCGTCTCAAATTTAGGCCTCAATTAATCAGCAAGCTGAACTTAACATGTACATCATGTGTAAGCTGCGGTTGAGTGTTGGTCAGAGCTAAATTACTCATCAGGGCATTCAAAGGCAAAATTATGAGGCTGGCAAGACCAAAAATTATAGACCCGCTGTTTATGGGCTGCTGGGTTCAAATTATAGCTGTTTTCATGGAAGGCTTTTATAAAGGGTAACCAAACTCTGGTTTGGCTTGCAAATTGGCAGTTTGAGTAGCAAATGTGGCAGCTGCACAGAGGAAACAGGCTGGGGGAGTTGAAAGATACCATCACAGGTTGTGAGGAAACTTTCTTATGTTTTTTTTACAACTGCAACATCCTTTTGTGTGCTGCAACACACCTGTGGGCCCATGCCTCCCATCCCTCGAGGGGGATTCATTCTCATCGGACCGCCCATGCTCGGATGTCCTGCAGGAAACATTGGTACACCGGGAAAATTTAGGTCAATAACGAGTTTGTTAAGAATAAATACTTTCTGATTGAGGGCCTAAGTAAAAAAGAGCAGCTTCCCTGAGACAACGCAACAGTCAGTACCTTGAGGTCGAGTTGGGTCCAGGCTGTTTGGAAGGAGGGGCTGTGACCCAGGGATGCTCCCAGGAGGCTGATTTGGCATACGAAGTGAGGGTCTTGGGCCACCTGGGTACCGTGGAGACATAAATGGCTGCAGGAAGGACACAACAAGGACACCAGTTATCTTTGGTTTCAGAGAAATTTCAAGTAAAATATTTTTATATTTCTTGAATATGGAATTTTCACCAAAAAAAAATTCATCTGATTTTGTTATTATCAACTAAGATTGGGTCTCAGGGGTTCTTGGGTTCTGAGGTTCTGAGCGCTCTTTTTCTGTGGCCGTCTCCAAGTTTAGGTCCTCCACCTCTTACCCATGGTGTCCCACAAGGTTCTGTGCTGGGGCCTCTGCTCTTTCTCCACTATCTGCTTCCTCTTCAGCACATCCTGAGCTCCTTCAAAGGAATCTCCTACCATCTTTATGCAGATGACATCCAGCTGTACATCTCCTTTAAGCCCCATGAGATGTCTAAGCTGCAGCTGTTACACACCTGCTTAGACTCTATCAAAGCCTGGATGGCTGGGAGCTTTCTACAGCTGAATGAAGATAAGACTGAGATCTTCATCTGTGCCCCAGACAAGCTGGTTCCCAACGTCAGAGACTCTCTTGGTCAGCTTGCTTCTCACACCAAACCTTCCATCAGGAATCTTGGCGTGACCTTTGACCCAGCTCTCACCCTGGATTCTCATGTCAGTTCTCTTGTTCGCTCTTCCTTCTTCCATCTCAGGAACATTGCTAAGCTGAGTCCCATTCTGTCCCGCTCTGAACTTGAGACAGTTCTCCACACCTTCATCTCCTCACACTTAGACTACTGTAACTCTCTTTTCACGTGTCTGACCAGAACATCCCTGAACCGTCTACAGGTGGTTCAGAATGCATGTGCTCGGCTTCTGACCAAGTCCTCCAAACACACCCACATCACCCCGCTTCTCCTCCAGCTTCATTGGTTGCCAATCAACTTCAGGGTCCATTTCAAGATCCTGGTTCTGGTCTATAGGGCCTTACACGGACAAGCACCATCTTACATTGGTGATCTTCTTAGTCCCTACACGCCCAGCAGGTCCCTGAGGTCCAGTGATCAAAGCCTACTGGTTGTGCAGCACCAGGCTAAAAACCAAAGGTGACAGATCATTTGCTGCTGTGGCCCCCAGACTCTGGAACTCTCTCCCCCTGAGCCTGAGATCAGTGGACTCAGTGGTCTCCTTTAAAAAGCAGCTGAAGACTCACTTGTTCAAGCTGGCTTTTGTATGACCTTCTTCACCACTCTCTCTTTATTCTGCTCTCCCCACCTATTCCACGTTCCTCAGGATCCACTGATTTCCCTCTTTCCTATTCACTCTCTCTCTAGCTTAACATTTTTCTTTTAAATCGCAATTGCTTATTTTTGCTCATTTAAAATATATTTTTAAACATTTTCTAATAGCTTTTTTATATTTTTACATTTTTATTTTTTTATTTTTTGTTTTTGTGAAGCGCCTCGTGATTTTTATCTTGAGAGGCGCTTTAGAAATGATATTTTCTTCTTCTTCTTAATACGAGATATGTTTTTACAAGCATGTCTTAACACAAATGTCAGAATACTGCACACTCTGTGTTATAATGACCAGATATATGAATGAATAGGTTTAAAATTAAAATAAAAATCTAATGAAGCTGGAATTGTAACGCAATTGTCTTTTTAAACAAAACTGAGGTGAAATCACAGAAATGACTGCATGTATTAACAGGCAAGCCGCTGCACTGAGCATGTTTCTGTATGCCAGAGTCATTATCAACTCAGAACCAAAGAAAAGCCACCTCACATTTCACGACTCAGCCTGACTCTGTGATTTGTGATGATCGAGTGAGAATCACATCAGTCCGGCTTAATGAAGCAGCATTACCACTGCATGGCAGCAGGGGGAGGTATTGCGTCAACAGATTATGTACTGCTGTAGTTTTGGTACACCTCCGAGGAATGAGGAGTTTGTCATTGGAAAGTAAGACCTCAGGTGGTTCGAGCCATTAGCACGAAGGTAAAGGAGGATGGGTATGTGCAAGTTTTAGAAGGAAACATGAACTTAAAGAACAACGTGAAGTGTGAAAGAAAAACAAATGGATGCACAACGGAAGCAGTAATAATAATAATAATAATAATAATAAAGCAGGAACACAAAACGTTCCCAGACGTGTTCATTTGGTGCAGCATAAATGCACTGAATGTGTTCACAACATCTAGAAACCCGAGCTGCTCATATTCTGTGTGATTCCTCACAGAAACTCCAGACACGTGCTCTACGTTTGAGTCGAGCGGAGACAAGAACAGGCTGGCTGGGACACGCACGCAGAGCCGGAGCACAACTAGTGAATAATGTAAAGCGTCACAGACAAATGGTTTGCAGAATCACCTATGAGAATATGCTGCTGCAAAACTACAAGCAGCGACATCCAGCGAGCCACGTTTCAGTCGGGTGACTAGAATATGTTCTGAACTCAGTCCAAACGATTTCACATCGATGGGAATGTGCTGGTGTGAAGGCTGGGTTGATGGTAGTCAAGCCTCTGCAGCAGACACATGACCGGCACACAGAGATGGGGCTGGAGAGGTAATTATGTGTTTTCTGTTTGTTTTGGGACAAGTGGAGGACAGCTTATGTAATTACACTTAGTGCTAGAGGCGAAGACCGACTTACTACTGTTTTCTCTTTTCCTCGGTCTGCTTCTTCCTGCCGCCCCCCGCCCCTCCTTCCTTTGACCACATTGTGGTGGGTTTGTGCGCACAGAGCTGCACAGTGTCAGGCTGTGTTGCAATATTAATGGCCTATTGATGGACTATGGGATGGGGAGTGCCGGGCCGAGGGAGAGGAGGCCCTCCAGATGCACCTCCGCTCCTTCCAGCCAGGCCATTGCAGCTAAATTATTCATCCGTTCCACCATCCTGGATGCTGCCAGGCAGCCCAGCAGGGAACCCGTGTGCTGTTTGTACGTGAGTGGCTGCACAGGAAGGGAAGTAAATGTTTCTGTCTTACCTGTCCATGAGGTCCCATCATAGGATTGTTTGGGTTGTGTGGGGGAGGCTGTGTGTGAGGGGAAGGCTGGGATCCTGGAGGACCCTGGAGGGGAGGAGACATAGAGATGTCAATAAAGTACAACTAGAATCAGGTAATAAACAAGCTTACAAAAAAGATAAGTAAGATTTGCTGCCATACATGAGCCTTTCTTTTAAGTTGTTCATGTTGACAGAAAATATGATTTGTCTTGGTCTTATTTCTTTTTCTATATATGTTTGCACACAAGGAGCTAAAATAAATGTACAGTAGCTCAACGGGGATTTTTGAAACATTAAAAAAAATATTTTTGCACAAACATTCACCCACACACTTGCTTTCAAATCAAAACTTCATAAAGAAGCTAAAATTATAAATGGCCTGTATTTACATAGTGCCTTCTACAACCCCCCAAGGTGCTTTACAACAAAACTGTCATTCATCCATTCACACACAGAGATTTCACTGAAACACAAATAAGAGACATATGCCTTTAAAAAAACAACAACATTAATAAAGCCAGTGTCTCTGCGACTGCTAAAGTTTGTTGTGGACTCTCCAAAATATCAGAAGACATTTGTGACATTCTCAATTACTTCACATAGATCATATAGTCACCCTCTTGTGTTTTATTTGAACTTTAACCATTAAAAAAAACAACAACATTCTCTCACGATAGCCACACACAGTCATTGCAGGAATTCTGAAACCCTCCAATTTAGTCTAATCCATCAATTATCTTATCTCGCTTTTCCGTGCAGGGTCACAGGGGGTTGGTGCCTATCTCCAGCAGTCACTGGGCAATCAGGCGGGGTGCACCCTGAACAGGCTGCCAGTCCATCACAGGGCAACACAGAGACACACCGGACAACCAAGCACACACACACACACACACACACACACACACACACACACACACACACACACACACACACACACACACACACACACACACACACACACACACACACACACCTACGGACAATTTAGAGCAGGGGTGTCAAATATGCGGCCCGCGGGCCGGATCCGGCCCACAAGCGGGTTAAATCCGGCCCGCGAGATGGTTGTGTAAACTTTATTTTCATACTTTACAATGTAGAGTGAAAATAAACATATCTTTGTGAGCAAGTTTTCTCTGTAATGAGTATAAATAAAACAAAGCTGCGCTCAAGGCTCACACAAGAACTTGAATCCCATCCTGAAGTTGGCCGCCACTCAGGATGTGACTTCTGATATTGATGTGCTGGTGAAAGCTAAAAGATGTTAAGTAAAATGAGTCAAATATACTTTAAGTGCTGCATGAAACTGATCTAGCCATGTGATCTGTAAGCTCTTTGAATCACTAAGGAATTTTTATTTATTGATTGATATTTTATTGTTTTCAAATTTTCAAGTACACTTCAGGTGTTGTACTTGTACTACACTGTCCTCAGGCTCCAGCCTTGTTTCATATTGATTGTATTAAAACAAAGAAAACAATCTGAAGTTTTTTTTTCTTATTTACCGGTCCGGCCCACTTGGGACTAGATATCCCTCAATGTGGCCCCTGAGCTATAATGAGTTTGACACCCCTGATTTAGACAGACCATTCAACCTGACAGTCATGTTTTTGGACCGCGGGAAGAAGCTGGAGTACCCGGAGAGAACCCACGCATGCACAGGGAGAACATGCAAACTCCATGCAGAAAGACTCCAGGCCGGGATGTGAACCCAGGACCTTCTTGCTGCAAGGCAACAGCTACTAACCACTGCACCACTGTGCAGCCTCCAATTTAGTCTGGTCAGAAATTGTAACAAATTAGGACAACTTTGGGAGGATTTGTAGACCAAATAATTGAGTTGACAAAAAACTGAGACAGTTTGTGACCTAAATGAGTTAAGAAAATACATTTGATTAACACAATATGCCTGAAATGACATCATGCCTCAAATGAAAGCTGTTGTAAAAAGAGTGTTGCACATGCCAGTTTCTTGTGATTCCAGTTTCAGTTTCAGCAGAGTGCTTTACTAGCTTAAAGCGTTTATGAAAGCATATTTCACAGTTTTACACCCCTCTATACGTAAACGTGACAAAACCCTAACCCTAACCAAATCACTGTACAATGGATTAATACTTCCCATTAAGTGCATCACAAAAACATACTAATGTGTGCTGATATAAGTTGGTATTTTGACACCACTGGAATCCTTGAGAAATCTTTTATAATTAGATTTAACAAAATAAAGCTAAACAACAAGCTTATTGGCAACTGTTTAAACACCAAAGTAAACCAAATCCCATGCAAGAGGCGTAACAGATAAGCATCCATTATTAATTATTACACGACATAATCAGGAGCAGGTATATTTGCAAAGTGTGTAAAATACCCAGTGAATGTGATTCTAGCTGTTGGTAGCTCTCAAAGACAATCAAATACAGACTCTGCACAATGTAAACAAGCATGGCAGACACATAAACAGTGCAGACCAAGGGAGGATTTACCAATGAAGAAGATCGGGGGCTCTGCCCGGATGACTTTGTGATGTTTTAAAAATGATACTTTCCAACCACCATAAGCAAGACAAAAATATTCATAACATTGTCTCGTTATATAGTTTCTTTGTACCACAACTTACTGACACTTTTCTAATCGATTCAAAAACCTGAATCATCACAGCGAACGTCCTAATATTCATGTTTGCATCAGCCATAGATGCCTCTCAGGTGCAGTGTGCATGCTGCTGAAGCCCTTCTTCTTCAGGGGAGGCACAGGCAGGCTACTTGTGAAGCTGCTGCCTCTCTGGTGGACGTTGGTATCACACGTTACTTCAAACCTATTTTAGGTAAAATTCAGAATCAGGGCTTTTCAGAAAACATCCAGAGCTTGAGCCCAAGTAGCAACCCCCTAACACCCCCTTGTGCAGACATACAGGGTAGACAACATGTACACCTGCTGCAGATCAACTGTTTAGAATGATGATGGCATGGTAAAATAAACCATTGTTCTGGTTTGTAGTTCTGCTCTGTTGACTTTTGTATTATCTGCCAGATAGGAGAAGTTCAACAAGACTGTATCCAGGGTGTGAGGGATCATTTTCGGTAAGCTCACAGTGAATATGAGATCGGCATTAAGCTAAAAAAGAAACAAACTGCAGGAGAAGTCCATAATTAAAATCATTCTTCAGGAACTGAACAACATAAGCCAGATTTGTGTTTGTGAATTTGGCTCCACCCCCTTGGTCAAAATCAGAAAATAAATGCAGCGTGTCCAATTTAGACACGTACCATATAATTACCACACAACTATCATATCTAATCTGTTAGCCCAACAAGGAATGCTTGTAATAAGATTTGCCACTGACATTAACAAAGGGTCACGCTGATTCTCATGTACAGGAGCCGTTAACTGCCACAACGAGGTCAGATCAATTCAGGAGGAATGCTGTAATCAGTGTTCAATTACGATAATGTTGCCAAAAGGATCATTTTGTAGTTTATCCTAATGTGGTACTATTTCCTCCACATTTACCTCCATGATACTCAATCCAGTTACAGAATCTGAGCAGCAAGGACCCAACATGTAACCCCAGTCAAACGAACGGTGGCTAACAAACAAAGGTATAAGAATCAGGCCCAGCATTTCTGAAGTTATTCTGTAACACTGATCAGTTCTGAAATAAAGACATCATCACTGATCTCAGCTTTCACGTACACTGAACTGCATGACCTTTAACCTCTTTTGTCTCCTCTCAGCTGACTCTAGATCAGGGGTGTCAAACTCATTTTAGCTCAGGAGCCACATTGAGGGAAATCTAGTCCCAAGTGGGCCGGACCGGTAAATTAAAAACAACTTCAGATTGTTTCCTTTGTTTTAATACAATCAATATAAAACAAGGCTGGAGCCTGAGGACAGTGTATCCAAAATAGTACAAGTACAACACCTGAAGTATACTTGAAAATTTGAAAAAACTAAAAAAATCTATAAATAAATAAAAATTCCTTAGTGATTCAAAGAGCTTACAGATCACATGGCAAGATCAGTTTCATGCAGCACTTAAAGTATATTTGACTCATTTTACTTTACATCTTTTAGCTTTCACCAGCACATCGATATCAGAAGTCACATCCTGAGTGGCGGCCAACTTCAGGATGTGATTCAAGTTCTTGTGTGAGCCTTGAGCGCAGCTTTGTTTTATTTATACTCGTTACAGAGAAAACTTGCTCACAAAGATAAGTTTATTTTCACTCTACATTGTAAAGTATGAAAATAAAGTTTTCACAACCATCTCGCAGGCCGGATTTAACCCGCTTGTGGGCCGGATCCGGCCCGCGGGCCGCATATTTGACACCCCTGCTCTAGATGAAGCAGTGGCAGCGTCTCTGTGACTTACTGCACATTCAGACGGAATGAAAGTGGACCACCCACTGCCAGACCAGGCTTATCCACTCCTTTGCCAATCCCCTCCAGTATCAGGTAACATAACAGGTGTGTGTGTGTGTGTGTGTGTGTGTGTGTGTGCATGTGTGTGTGTGTGTGTGTGTGTGTGTGTGTGTGTGTGTGTGTGTGTGTGTGTGAAAGAGATGTTCACCGGAAAAGTAAAGAGTGCAATTATGAGAAATTCTTTTTTCCAGAAGACACAGAAGGATCTTCTCCTCTCCAGTGCGGAGTGTGTTTTACAGTATGGACCACCATGATAATAGGTGAAGGATTAGGTGACTGACCATGTACAATATAATGTCTCACACACACACATGCACACACACACACACGCTCCAAAAACTGATTTCTTTCGGTTTTTGCCCAACATGTTACACTATTAACTGACTTAGTCTGCTCATTGATCCTAAAGTAGTCCTCAATAAAAATGCAAACATTAATTTAAACGAATGAACCTTAAATAAGCAGGAAATGAGAGAAATAATGGGGAGAAAGAAGCTTCTAAGTTTCTGTGCGTGTGTAACTAGATGTGTGTAAATCTGTGTTTGATGTGTAACTTGTGTTTACATTTGTGTGTGTAACTTTAGCTCCTACACATACAAATCGCTGAAAACACAAATCACCTGGTACACTTGGAAAAAACTACAT